GGGTTATGGACATTGGGGAGGGTATGTGCTATGGTGAGTGCTGTGAAGTATGTAAACCTGGCAATTCACAGACCTGTACCCCTGGGGCTAATAATACATTATATGTTAATATACATATATGTTAATATATATATATATATATTCCATATATATATATATATTCAAGTCCTATGGCCAGTGTCTACACTTGAACAGGATGTGTCCCACACAAGGATGGAGAAGAGATGGTGAGTGGGCACAGGGCTGACCATATTCTGTTCACCCAGTCGGGTCCATCCATGAGCACAGGGCTGTGCCCACTGGGAGGAAGGGGCACCTTTTTTCTGATTTGACCCAGAGGCAGCCGTTTTCTTTATGTATTCTCCAGCAATCTGGTTTCTAAGAGGGATCATTTGTTTATCTGCAGTGCACGTCTCAACAGGAGATAAAAGGCAAGTAAGAATATAAAGTTTTTGAAAACCTTAATGCATTTTTAAATTCCAAGACTCTGAAAGAGATGTGTTTTATAATACTAATTGCTATGTTTTACAAATAACAAAAAGATTGGTAAAGGATCAAATGGTTTAGTTTTTAATGTTATTTGATAAAAGAAAAGCTCTTCCATTTTGGGGAAATAGATTACTTTTCTTTTCATGAGCTTTGTTTTTTGACATTAAAAGCTGAATTATGTTTTCATATGCAAATAAATGGGAATGAATAATAGCTAACCTTTTCAGTTGTTAAAAAAGGTAAAAAGAGTTCCATACTTGGATCGTACACTTATTAAGATACAGAATAGAATCTTGTTGACATTTCTGTATGGCCATTTAGTGATTATATTTTGCACAGAAAACACAGTATTTCTGCTGTCAATAGTGTGTTCTTTCTGGAGTTGGCAACAGGACCGTGGGCCTTTGAGTTAAGCACAGTTGAGTGCAAATCTCAGTTCTGTCACTTACACTCAGTTGAAAACTGGACAGGTCATTTAATTTCCCCTCAGATTCAGTTTTGTCATCTGTAAAATAAGGTTAATAGTATCCACCTTTAAATAATACTGTGTTTTAATATAATAATGTACCTTTTATATACAATTGTAAATATATATTTACAAGAACAGAACATGCAAATAAAATCCCAGAAACATAATAGGACTCCTAATTTTTTTTAAGATTTATTTACTTATTTGGGGAGGGTGCGAAGCAGCATGAGAGGTAGTGAGAATTTCAAACAGACTTCACACTGAGTGAGAAGCGGACTTGGGGCTCTATCCCATGACCCCGAGATCACCACCTGAGCTGAAACCAAGAGTCAGATACTAAAGCAACTGGGCCACCCAGATGCCCCAACTTCTAATTTTGTAAATTATATTGTAAATATTATTATCACTTCTAAAGTGGATATTTGAAACAGATATTTCAAAAATACAACAATTCTCAATATAATTTGCATTAAAATCTATGCTTGATTCAAAGCATTCAGACTCCAAAGGTGGGAGGGGCTAGGACTGGATTTACTTTTTTCAGCTTTGTTGAGATAAAACTGAAAAAACTGAAAAAAAGTTAAACTGTACGTGGTGATTTGATACATGTATGCATTGTGAACAAGCAAATTAGCACTTAAATTACCTCACATATTTACTTTACTTTTTTTTTTTTTCATTTTTTTGCTAAGTCCCCTTGAGTTCAGCTCCCTTAGCAAATTTCCATGATACAATGCTGTGTCACCAACTATCATTTCTCTGGATGTTATACAACAGCTGCTCATACTTTATTCATCTAATTGGAAATTTATACCCTGTTACTCACCTCTCCCTAATTCCACCATCCCCCCAGCCCCAGCCTCTGCCTACCACTCTTCCACTCCCTATTTTCTATGAATTCAGGTTTTGTTTTAGATTCCAAATAGAAGTGATACCATGCAGTGTTTATTTTCCTCTGACTTAGCATAATGTCATACACGGAGTACATCCATTTTGTTGCAAATAGCAACATTTCCTTCTTTTTTAAAAATGAATTTTATATGTGTGTATATATGTATGTACATATATGTGTATATATATACATATATGTGTGTGTATGTACACATGTGTATATGTGTATGTATACATATATACACACATACATATACATATACACATAATACATTACATATATAATAAATGACATAAATAAATTATACATATGTACAAATCACATTTTTTTTATTCATTCATGTGTTGGTGGACACTCAGGTTGTTTCCATATCTTGGATATTGAATATAATGCCACAATGAACATGGGAGTACAGATATATTTTCAAGATAACGGTCTGGTTTTATTTGGATATATACTGTTTTCCATAGTGCTGTACCAATTAACATTTGCATCAAATGGGACTGATGCACCAGAACAAAGTTTTCCTTTTCTCTACATACTTGCCAGCATTTATCTCTTGGATTTTTGGTAACAGTCCTCTTAACAGGTGTGATATGGTATCTCAAGATTGTTTTGATTTGCAGTCCCTTAATGATTAGTGATATTTAGCACCTATTCATACCTGTTGGCGACTTGTATACCTTCCTTGCCAAAAAAAAAAAAAAAATCATCCCCATTTTTAATTGGATTATTTGGTTGGTGGGGGGTTGTTTGTTTTGTTTTATTTTGGTTTTTGGCCATTGAGTTGAATGAGTTTTTATTTTATTTTTTATTATTTTTAAAATTTTTAAAAGATTTTATTTATTTGACAGAGATAGAGATCACAAGTAGGCAGAGAGGGAGGCAGAGAGAGAGGGGGAAGAAAGCTCCCTGCTGAGCAGGGAGACCGATGTAGGGTGATCCCAGGACCCTGAGATCATGAACTGAGCCAAAGGCAGACGCTTAACCCATTGAGCCACCCAGGCACCCCCCCGAATGAGTTTTTTATATATTTTGGATATATGATTTGCAAATACCTTCATTCAGTAAGTTGATTTTCATTTTGTTGATTGTTTCATTTGTTGTGCAGAAGCTTTTTAGTTGGATATACTCTGCTATTGTGTTTTTGCTTTTGTTCCTTATGCTTTTGGTGTCATATCCAAAAAATCATTGCCAAGCCAATGTCAAGGAATTTTTCCGTGGAGAAAATTTCTTTTCTTCCTGGAGACTTGTAGTTTTAGGTCTCATGTTTAAATCCTTAATCCATTCTGTGTTAATTTTTGTAAGTGATATAAGAAAGGGGTCCAGTTTCATTCTTTTGCATGTGAATATTGTTTTCCCAGTGCCATTTATTAGACAGACTATCCTTTCCCAATGAGTAGTTTTGGCTTTCTTGTCAAATATTTATTGTATATACATTGTATATATATTGCATATATTATTTGTTTTTTAATTAATTAATTAATTAATCATTAATTAATTTTTTATTTTAGTATGTTGACACACAGTGTTACATTAGTTTCAAGTGTATATATAGTTATCCAACATCTCTATATATTAAGCTATGCTCCAACAAGTGTAGTTACCATCTGTCACCATACAACATTATTAAAATATCATTAACTATATTCCCTATGATGTACCTTTGTTCTCATGACTTACTCAATCCATAACTGGAAAGCTGTATTTCCCATGCCCATTCACCCATTTTGCCCCTCCCTCCCATCCCTTTATCTCTGGCAACCATCAGCTTGTTGTCTGTATTTATAGATCTGATTCTGTTTTACAGAATCTATTTATTTCTGAGCTCTTGATGTTGTTCAGTTGGTATATGTGCTTGTTTTCATGCCAGTACCATAATGTTTTGATTACCATAGCTTTGTTACATAATTTGAAATCAGGAAGTGTGATGCCTTCAGCTGTGGTATGTCCATGAAGTGAGTGATTATGAAATGGATTAAATTTTTTTATTACCAGAACTGAAGACATCAGGAACTGAGAAGGGAGATTATTGGATGACTCTTGCACATAGACATGGAAGTACTCAAGGATGTTGAATGAAGCAAGTAATTAGGAGATTCGTAGTTGCTTAAAACAAAAGGTTACCATGAAATTGTGTTATGCTCTATGGTTTTGGAAAGAGAAAGAAGAAATTAATAACTCCATTCTAACCATTTTACATATATGAAACCATTTATTCTCCTCCAAGTCCCATTATTATCACATTTTGTAGTTGAGGAAACAGACTTAAATGTTTTCCAGGGTTACTAGTAAAAAGTAGAATTGAACCTAGGCATTCTGATTCCCAAGTACACTCTCTTAATCACTAGGAAATAGTTTTTGTTTTAGGATCAGGACCTTGGGCACCGCTTTTTTTTTAAGATTTATTTATTTTTAAATTTCAGAGAGAGAGAGAGAGAGAGGGCATAGGTGGGAGAGGCAAAGGGGGGACTCTCAAGCAGACTCTGGGCTCAGCACAGAGCCCATGGGGCTTGATCTCATGAGCCTGAGATCATGACCTGAGCTGAAATCAAGAGTCAGCTGCCTGACCAACTACACCATCTAGGCACTGTCCTTGGGCACTTTTTAATGTTGAAGCTGATGAGATGGTGAAAGACAGTTGAGTTGTGGACATGAGTATTCATGGTTTTACCAGAAAACTCAGACACTACTACACTGCTGTTATATTCTACTGAGTGGGGTTTAGCCTAGGGATAGGGCAATCTTATCAAAAGTACCTGGAGTTCTGAAGGCTCCTTCATTCCACAACTTCAATCCTGATATTTTCTCTCATATGTGACTATGAACTAGGTTGCAGCCCTGTGAGGAGAGGTCTTCCTAGACCCTTGTTAAGAGTGAGAATCTAAAAAGTCACAGCTAATGCTGGAATGTATATACTGTGAGGGCTTATGAGACCATAGGTATGATCTTGAAGGAAATTTATGAGGCATTATTTCAAGTATTTCTTTTGCCTCAGAAATGTTCTTCTACTTGGAAAAAACATTAGTCATACAAATTCCTCAGTCAAATTAAAAATAAAGCTACCATCGCTGGATCAAAGTGTGAGGAAAAAAAGTCAGTAAAGGGTAACTCTTCTAATGGAAGTAAATTTGTGGAGAAACATGTTGCTTTTTATTAGCCATGAAGTTTATTTAATAGAAAGACAAATTCAGCTGAAGATCATTCATTAAGATAGGCAAATTAACAATAGTTTATTAATCCTTCTTTTAAGATGAACCTATCTTACCAGTATTACGTTCCCCACATCTGAGAGATTTATGTGAGTCTTGGAAAAGAACACATAGTTCTCTCAATTAAAAAAAATCAAATAATAAAAGAAGTACTATAACTTTGTTTTGAGTCAATGACATATATATATACTAGGCTTTGCCACAGGCCTCCATTGTAATCTCTTATAATTTGGTTTAAAATGTCAAACATTTTGGCTGTTTAAATAACCCATTAAGTGCTCTGCAAAATCACAAGACATTCTACATGTGACTTAATTAATATCTACTCCAATTACACACAACACATTATCATGCTCAAGATCTAGATTTATTTTAAAACATTTAGTCCAGTTTATATTAATGCAGAAAAATCACATCCAATAAACCACAACTGTAGAAGAGACACAATAATTATGTTCTGTCACATTACCACACAAATATAATTTGATATTTAATTACAGGATGATAAATCACAATCACAAGTAAATGAAATATTTATCTTCTCAGTAGTAGTAGGAACCTCTTTTGAGTATGTAGGGTCTTCTGGGTTTATTCTCATACAGCTGGCGTTTCAGAATGTAAGGGATTTTTCTCTTTATAACTTCTTCCTTTTCATTTTTGTCATTTCCAGCATCAAGAACATCTTCCTGAATTAACTGCAAGATAGGCAGGATAGGAATCAAACTTACATGAATGACATCTTTCAGAGCAGTTTTCTACATTTTATCTCTTTTGCTATTCAAACAGTAAGACACATGTGGATGAGATATACAAATTTTAAAGCAATTAAATGTTTTGTCCAGGGACAGATGACTATCAACTGACTGAAATAGAATGAGAAAAAAACTGAGATAATTTTTTTCCAACTCTCTATTCAAGGCTACACACTGATACCTCCAACTGAAGCAACACACGGAGTAGATCTTTGAGTATTTTTCAGGCTTTGATTTATGAGAGACCAGAATGTTATGAAAATATATAATAAATCACAACAAATAGAGAGTTTTGAATTTAGTAAGCCAGGTTTGGCCTCAAAAGGCAACAGGATTTTGTATTCTCTTTAGTTAATTACTGACTTGACTTGAAAACCATTCCAAAGATCCATTTCTTAGTCAAAGAGAGAGGAATGCCTGCTCTGCCTAACTTAGGTGTAGAAATTAACACATGTGAAAGTTCTGTTTCAATAGTTAAGATCTCTTTAGATTGTGGTGCTTAATACTTAGAAGCAAGTTCAGATTCAATAACTTAAGGGAGTTCATCTCCATGTAGAATCTTACCTAATATCTCATTGAATATGCCACATTCTAAAATTAGTTCTGAACACTTTTTTTCTGGTATAGTTCTGAATAAAAAATTTCAGTTAGCAGAAAATGTTTAAGACCTCGTCCCAGAATTTTGCACTTAATTTTATGTGAAATTTTTAAACAAATTGCTCAAGATAAGAATTGCATTTGTATTTGTGATTGTCTTCTAAACTTTGGGGTCATAAGAAATGCTAAGAGGAGACTAAGTTTTTAATTATAGTGCATGTGCACTGAATCGTATCACCAACTACTTTATTTCAACCCACAACTTCAATTTCAGAGAAGGTAAAACAGGTATTGTCAGACACTCTAGTTCCTTAATCTTATGTTTCTCTACGAACATAATCTATAATTATTCATATTCTGTTCTGAGTGATATTATCATTTTATTTTAAATCACTCAATAACATTTAAAATAGTAAAAGTCCTGGGGTGCCTGGGTGGCTCAGTCGCTAAGCATCTGCCTTGGGCTCCGGTCATGATCCCAGGGTCCTGGAATCAAGCCCCGCATCAGGCTCCTTGCTCAGGAGGAAGCTTGTTTCTCCCTCTTGCCACCCCCCTCCCCCACCCTGCGTCCCCCCTCCCCCTGCTTGTGTTCCCTCTCTGGCTGTCTCTCTCTCTGTCAAATAAATAAATAAATTCTTTTAAAAAAAATAATTAAAGTCCTAATCTTATGTGCACCTGATTTGTATGTATCATAGTTAATTGAGTTGTTGTTGTTGTTGTTATTGCTTTTAATTCCCGGATAAATAGCACACAACTGACATTTCCCTATGTTAAAATAAGCATTTTTCAAGCTTTACTGATTTAAAGAATATTTTAAAGACTAAACTATTTAGCTGGAATTGGAATTAAGTGATGAGTAGTCCACCAAGTAAAATTAAATGAACGTTTTTGGTATTTCATCTAGAAAACATCATTTTATTTATAAGTTAGAATAAACACTAAAAATTCTGTTTTACATTTCTTCTTTTCCACAGGTTATCTTTGGGATAGTCATTTACAGAGATCTCTATATTAGCAGGGAAGGTACCCTCAGATTTCCAAGGTTGGTGTAAACCCAAAATATAAAACATTAAGCAAATTTCTCTCAGAGGTTAATATGAAAGAAACGGTTCCCTTGTTGGGAAAATGTTCTTTTTCTTTAAAGCATTTCCATTTCTCTTTTCCTCCTTCAAACAAATTTTCCCAAACCAAAGGCAGTAAATCACTAGTATAGTATTCAATACAACTATTTTATCATACGTCAGTGTAGTTCTTTCGGTATAATGGATTTTGGATGTCTTGGTTGTCGTGGACCTAGTTTAGATGCTAAGGATCTGAAATCTATTTATTCAATGAAATAGGAATATATATCATATGATATATATTCCAGTTTTATTTGCCTAATATATTCAAATACAAATGGAACCTTTTGGTTCTTGTGCTTGTTTATAAACATGTATGACTTGGTGCTTCTAAGAAAATATTTTCAGTCCTTAAATTTTGTGCGTATGCCACTACCAAAAATTGCTTGAGTATGCCACCAATTTAAACACAATAAAACCATGTGGATCAAATCTGCCTTAAGATAGACACCCCCCTTTTAAGATCGAAGAAAAAATATTTTGCTAACTCCCAATATTTGAAGGAGACTTTGAAGATCTGAAGGAATGTTAACCTCAACACATGGTTTATTCTTCTTTAATATTTGTAAGTCTTCCTGTTATGATAATGATCAGGATAAAAAAAAAATCAGTACAAATGAAAGGTAACTAGTGTAACGATAATTATATTCATATTTTGTTTTTGTGTTACCTCCCATTGTTGAAAAGCCCTGCTGTGGCAGATTTTTTGGAGCTGGTATATTGTCAGCATTGCTTCCAAGCTAAAACCATCTAAGGCAGTGGGAAATTTCCTTCTTGTAATAAGCTCCTCTTCACGAAACTCTCCTGTTTCCTCGGCTTGGCTGTTCAGGTTATTTACAAAACTGCAAACATTTAGCAGGGTCATTTTCCAAGAAGAAACACTCGCTTTACTGATCTGAAGTATAGAAAAAAATAGGTACTTAAAATTTAAAAATATAGGTAGTTAAAATTTGTATTATAAGAGTAAGAAATAAATTTCCATTGTGCTAAGCCATTAACATTTTAGGGTCTGTTACTCTAGCCGAATAATTACACTGTTATTTATTTAGTAATTTTATATCACAAAATTGATTAGTAACAATTCCTCATATATTCTAATTTTAAAAATGTAATGCAGTTACACATGTGCACATAGCACAAATACATGAGCAAAACAAACAAAAAAGAATAGTATAAATGTGTAAATATATGTATATATCACAGATGAAAATACTAAAACTATCATTCTCTTTAGTTCACTTCAGTTTAGTGTCTAATGGAGCGTAGCCTACAATGATGCTAATAGATTTGGACAATTACAGTAGTGTGAGAGCACTAATCCATTCCACACATGGATAGTTCTCATAGACAGCATCACAGCTGATCATTTATCTGCAAATTATAATATTTCCTAGAATTACCATTTTTTAATAATATCTTGTCTGAAACCACTATTACCATCAACAATGTTCCTATGTGCCAATAATAATCAACGAAGAAACATAAGGACTTAGGAGAATCGAAATGCAAGATAATAAACATTAAAAAAATTTTCAAAAGTCATAGATGAAGGAAAGCATACATTTTTCCTAAAGACATTCACACACACACACACACACACACACACACACACACATGCACGTGCATGCTCACAGACATGAAACACCACACAACCATGATGGGAGGATTCAAAAACAGTAATATCACACATCAATTCTCTCTATATTACTCCCTACCTATAATGCAATTGTAAATCAAAGTTTCAATTTGGAAAACATGGGGAGACTAGAATTTGGAGGTGGGGATTTGGCAAAATAATTATAATGTTAATTTGGAAGTATGAATGTGTGAGAATAACCAAGAAGAGTTAGCAAAATAAAAAGGTAACAAGGAGAAATTTACTCTATCAGATATTGAAATGTATTTTAAAAGCTCAGTAATCAAAGGAGTGAATTAATAGAGCAAGAGTAAATATTAAACCCAACAGGAAATAATATCCTAAAATTGGTGCAAGTATAAATGAATGTGTAGCAGATAAGCAAAGGTTGCATTTGAAATCCTTGGGATGGGTGGCTATCAGGAAACCTGGACTTGGGTCTAACTCTAACTTTCTTGACATATTGTGGTTTAACAGTATCCAGATGGGTTAAATATGAGTAAAAATAAAATAGTATCTAAATATATAGAATTTGTTTTACATACCTAAAAAGGTATTATTAAGCAAATATCCAAACTGCAATCCACAGTGAAAAGGATAACATTAAATACATAAATGTATAGAACATCTCTGGAAAATTAGTAGCCTGAACTAACATCAGAAGCAAGCTATATTGTAAAAGCTGCCTCAGAATGTTAATATCCTTAACACAGGTAGAGTTCTTCAAGAAGAAACTGTCGAATCCACCTACCAAAAAACAAAACAAAAAACAAAACAAAACAAAAAAACACTAAAAAATTTTAAACCTTAGATAAGTAAAATGAATAAACAAGTCATAGAATCACTCCTTAAAAAGGAAATATGTGGAAAGATGTTCAACCTGGCCAGAAGACTTTTAAAAGAGTAGGTACATTCATTTGGTGTAGTTATAGGAACATGGGGAGACAGACACTTCCTCTTCTAAGTATTTGTTGGTCTGGGTGTAGATTTGTTACAAATTTTGAAGGGTGTTTTGCATTAAAATTCAAAGTGTGCACACCCTTTGATTAAGATTTTATCTGAAGAACATGCAGACATTTGAGTACAAAGGTATTCACTTGAAGACATTATTATGATATGTAATAATATAATATATGATGGTTTTAAACAGTTTGGAAATCCTTTCAGCTATACCCCATGAATACAGTTATCCAGCCATTGCTTAAACTTTGCTGTGAGAAACTTAGAGGTGACATACTCCATTGTCTGGCAGCAACAATTTATATCATGCCAATTGATGGAATACCATATTTCTACATTTAGAAAGCTCTTTATAGATTATCTAATTGAGTGTTTTCTCGCGTGTACTCCTTAGAACGCTAGTTCTGCAATCACTGTTTTTCAAAGGGTTCCACTGTCAAGTTAACTGGAAAACTTGAATTTAAAGGAAATTTAAAGATTTCTTGAACTTAGGTATCCTCAGAGCTTTTAACTTGCAAATACTCATTGTAACTTTTAATTTTATTTATGTATTTTTAAATATTTTATTATTTTTAAGTAATCTCTACACCCCATGTGGGGTCAAACTCACAACCCCGAGATCAAGAGTCACAGGCTCAACTAACTGAGCCAGCCAGGGCCCCCGTTGTAACTTTTTAATGGTGCCAGTAAAAGTATCAAATGTTTCCCAAACTAATTTGACCACAGAATGCTTTATTCATAAAGTATTTGTCTGGACTAGTGTTATCTGTCTACTCTTTTGAATGAGGAAACTGAATTAATCATCTTGTTTCCTCCTACCAGTTAAAGTAGTCACCATGTGACTCAGTAATAGGATTATTTAAGGTCCCTTGAGTCCCTCTCATAGAAAACACAGCAAAGAAAGCACTACTGACTGAAGGATGTCTAAGTAGATATCTTGTATTTGAAAACATTTTGTATAAGGTTTTAACTATTTCATTCAGAAAAATGGCAAAGACTCTTTCTTTGAATCCGGCTCCTCTGAACTCTCTTTCTTGACTACGTCCCAGCCTCGGGCTCTGTCTTTGGTCTCCTAAATCCAGTTCTAGCAAGAATCATGCTGAGTCAATTTGCCACAGGTACGTGGCTCTTGTCCTTGGTATCTGATCATCCTAGATATTTGATCAGATATCAGATACTTTACCAAATTTCTATCCTTAATATCAGAATCCTGTCATATCTCCTAGCAAGAATCCTTCCAGCCTTAATGTTTCCTCTTATTCCATCCATGGAGGCCCACTACACCTCTCTATAAATGCACACTTGCCCTAGTTGTGTTTGGAGTGGAACCGATCTCTGTAAAACCCCCATTTCAGTAGTCCTCTTGACTAAAGTCTTGCTTACTACCTTTAGCTAGATCATGAATAATTTCTCTTTAACAATAAACATTCTTTATTATCAAATTATTTTAGCAAATGATTATAATAGACCTGAGCCTATAGATAAGAAATTTAGAATATTATCTCGCCTTGTTTTTCAAGATAAGGAAAGCAAGAGTATTTGTGGTTCTTACTTACCATTACTTGATTTAACTTTTTAATACTAGATAAGATTCTGGTCGAACTTTTGTTACCTTAATTAAATGGGAGCTAATCTGTATGACCAATACTCACTCCCCATAATCACTAAACACAGATGAGTCCAGCAAATTGTGAACTCAAAGATTTCACTGAATTGAAAATAATTTAAGTCATCTGTGGTGGAGCTCTGAAGTTTCATAGTTGAATACAAAATGTGAGGGTTGGTAATGAATCCTAGATTCCCATTGTTAGTTCAAAAATGCGTATTAAACTGTTACCAGGGGCGCCTGGGTGGCTCAGTGGGTTAAAGCTTCTGCCTTCAGCTCAGGTCATGATCCCAGGGTCCTGGGATCGAGCCCCACATCGGGCTCTCTGCTCAGCTGGGAGCCTGCTTCCCCATCTCTCTCTCTCTCTCTACCTGCCTGTCTGCCTACTTGTGATCTCTGTCTCTCAAATAAATAAACAAAATCTTAAAAAAAAATTCTCTCTCCCTTTAAAAAAAAACCAAAAAACTGTTACTTTATACTAGGCATTAAGTTTGACCATAGAAAATTATAATATTGTAGCAGCTTTTTTAGATCCTGAAGAAAAGATACTATACCAGGTTCTCTTTCTTAATAGAATAGTACGAAAGCACTAGCACTGGTAATAAAGGCAATTGTATTGTGAGAAAAAAATTATCTTCCAGTTTTCAGGCTATAAACTCTCTCTTGATCTTCTGTTGCTTAAGTAAGTTTTCCCATTAGAATTTCAATGTCTAAATAGCTTTACTTTAAAACTGAAATTGCTTACATATTTTTCCTTTAAAATGGAAAGAAGAAACCTGAAGCTCTCAGAAGTTTTTAATAATGGAATCCTATCAGTATCAAATACTATTCTCTTAAATATTTAAATGTAGTAATTTAGTTAAAATTATCATAAGTTTGGAGTTTTCATTTGCATAGAACTCTACTCATACTAAAAATCAATTGAGTCAAAGAGAAACAAATGATAGTAGTTTTGTAAAAAAAAAAATAGGGAATGAGTTGAGCTTTTTGTTCCCATCCTAGCAGCAAACTGAAATAATCATGCTTCTGGGTGCTTCCTCATTACAGACTGTATTTTACTTTTCTCAAATCAAAGGAGTCAATGGGATTCAATTTTGTTTTCCATGATATGTTTTAGAGACATATTCCAAGACTAAATAAAGGGGAAAAAATTTATTGTGCCTATATTTTTATGTATTTCTTTTAAGAGAAAAACCAAGTCACTCCATAAACTGCAATTGTTTTCGCCTGTAATTCTAAGGAAGGAATCACAATTCTACTTCCACACTTTCACAAAGTAGCTAGCACTCCCTAAATTATACTACATTTTGGAGATTATTTAGGACTTTTATGTGTCAATGTAAACTTAGAATTATAGAGGTAAAATCTCTACTGAGAAACTAAGGCATTCCAATCTGCCCCATTTCTAAACAGACTACTGGCTTTGTCTTCCTATTTTTGAGCTGAGGTAATTGTAATGGTTGCTATTCAGACTGAGTATTAAACAAGGGATCCATTATCTTAAGGTTATTATTTGGTTATTGATTTTTAATGGCTATACTAAATTTGATCTTTCCTGATATGAAGCCTACCAAATAATGAAAGAGTTTGGTTTCAAACCATTCAACTTTTGTAGATCTGGGCAATGGTAAAAATACATGCACTCAAATTGTCCCCATGTGTCTTTTAAGGATCATAGTAGATGACATATTTTGGCTAGCTTTCAGATAATAATGTCCTATACTGCCAAATACAGACAAGAAATGGGTATTTCCCCTTCAAACCCACTATCAAACATAATTCTACAAATATAATAGGGATTATTGTACCTAGAACGTGCTCATCCAATTAAGGAAGAGAAACACGTGGTGGCAGGACCCTAGTTGGAGTACTGCTCCAAAAATTAGACAGGAGCTTTGAGCACTTACTTTTTACTACAACATCTGTTGAATTCTCTGCATGGATATCCCAGTGTTTATAATAGTGATTGTACCTGGGGTCTGCCTCAAGTCAAGACTTATTTTTCTTTGAGAAACATCTTTTAGTAGGGAACTCTTTTTTCTATTCCTGTGATCGACTCACCCTGGGTAAATCAAAATACTGTGTGGTAGCATGGTAAACAGGTATATTCCAATTGTATTTTATTCCTAGGTACAGGTTGGGATCTAGGAATCTTGTTTTCAAGACACCAAGAGAGGAGTAAACAGGTACGGTATACAAAATTTCACTTGCTTCCATAAAAACCACAAGCAGGTGTAGATGATACTTCTGTTATAGGGAGAATGTAAACTAGCCCCAATACCAGCATTTACAAATTAGGCAATGAAGACAAGCAATGTTAACTAAGCCCCTTGCTTAAGAAGTCACAGTTGGAGAATTAGATCTCCAAGCTTCTGTTTGCAGTCTACTGCTCTTTAGTTTCTACCACATTTATTTCATGAATTGTCACGAACTACCATTTTTAATTTAGAACTCCATTTTACTCTTCCCGATATAACCAAAATGTCGACTTCGTTTCCTTGGATGCATTTAACTTGAGGCATACCTTTTGCCATACACAATGTGATAGGAATGGAAACAGGATTCTTTTAAATACATTTTCATCTCCACATAAATAATATGTGACTACCTAATTAAAGTCGCGATAAGCTGATTGATAGGCACTACGATTTCTTTCCCTTTCACATCAACACCCTTAACTGCTTTGAACTCAAGGAAAAGTTTCCCGAGAAAGGAAATGCCTCTCGATGAACTTTTCAGTCTTGATGGGAAGTTATTAACTATAGGAAAAGACACCATGTTTATAATGAGAGCTTATATGTTCTTCAATCAATGCTTAAAGAAAAGAAAAAGTTACCTTTGATGTATGCATATTGGTCAATAAATCTGCTTCTAATGCTTTCATTTCCTCTTCTGAATCTGAATAAAATCAAAACCACATGTTTACTATATAATCATATATCAAATAATTATACTATAACCTACAGATTTTAGATTAACCTCAAAAAAATTAGTCTTAGAGGCTTATTGTTTTTCTATGCATTAATTATCCATAAAATAATATTCAGAAAAAATACTTATCATTTAGTTTTGGGCTAACAGGCAGTTAGAATAATAAAACACTCCTAAGAAAATAAACACATGATTATATGCCAAAAGAGCTGTTGATGTATTGGAGTTACTTAATCTCTGAATCTCAGTATTAAAAAAAAAAAAAACTGATTATATCATATGATTGAGATTTCATTAAAAATGCTGGTTAATTTTTACCAGCAATAGTTTACATATATAGAATATATGTATATTGATATTTTAAAAAGAACATAATGAAAAGATGTGTACAAGATGTTTTTTCAAGACAAAAGCAAAGTGAATTTTTTACTGATGATTTTGGAATAAGAGACATCGAGATTTAGTCAAGTTGAGATGCTATTTTACCAAACATGCTTTGAAAGATTTGTTTTTCTACTTTAAATAAGAATTTAGAATTATGTGTACTTAGCTATTTTAGTACAGGCTATTAAGCAAATTGGTTAATTTGTCTATCAATACATGTGTAACTATGTTGAAAATGGACTTCTGACTTTTATTAGGGTAGCCTTTCCAGTTTCCCCTAGTGAATATATTGCAGAGAAGAAAACTTTATAAAATACTGTAAGTAATAGAAATAAAGTTATAGAATATCATAATTACATGACTTGATTTATACTCACTGATCTGTCATAAAACAAAGCAGATGTTAAAATGTCTATCTTCTTCAGCACACACTCTTGTTGAAAAGAAGTGTCTCACTTAAAGAAATTACTTGTTAAATTGTAACCAGCTCCTAAATTACACCAGAGATCTTTTTTCCTATTTGTTCAAGGCCAGTCTGTTTCTCAAGGGAATAATAAATTCCTTTAGCCATTTATGAAAAATGTATATCAAAATCCCTACAAATTTTGGCTTATCACATCAAGAAGCTCAAAGAGTTAATAAACACAGTGTTTAATCAACAATCTAATTTTTCTCATACACTCTAAATATACCTTTAACCTCATGTAATAGATAAAACCATAATTGTAGAAAATTTGGTATTTATAGAATTAAAAATTATTGCAAAGTTAGAAGCTCAAGATCTTTCTCTCATGATCAAAATAAATTAAAAATTTTGTTAAGTAACATTTATATCTTCTGCTAGATTTAATTTCATAATTTAAATAAAATAATAGGAGTTTGAATTAAATATTTCAATGTCATATTAATAAAATATAAAAGTATGCAACAGGCTAAATGATTTTGCTGCACTTATTCCCTATGTATTTTCCCTCTTTGATGTGATATTGCAATATTATAACATTACATGTTACTCTAATAAATTTAAGTCTTATTTTCAAGGTAAGTTATTGGTAGATCTATAACAATACATGGCTTCTTAATTATCACATGCAAAACACTCCATAGGTAAATAACTTCCATTATTTTTATTCCACAATTTTATTCCATAAATTTACCAATTTTCTAGTAATATTTTGTATGAATTTAAACAGCATGCAAAAAAAATTAAATTAATAGTATACTTATTTATCACATGGAAAGACTATACAAAATGCATTGTCTAATAGTACTTGGAATATTTTTATATTTTTTAGAAATCTTTTTCTATAAATAATGGTTCATTCATTTACTCATTAAACATCAGTTTTCACTTTATTTGCATCTTGACATACCTACACAGTTAAAATAATTTGGAGGAGGAAGAAGCCCCTGCTTCCTAAGAGAATGACTGAAGATGAGAAAAAGCATTTTGAATGGAATGAGTTTTAACTATGGGTTCTCCCTTTGACAGGTGGTGCATCTGTACTCCTTATCAGATTTTGACCAGCCTGATTTAAGTTCTACACATTTTTTTTTTTTTCCTACTCTGGTGGTTACATTCCAAGTGGAAGGCATGGAGTGTTTCACTGAAATCTCTTTTATTACCTTTGCAGATTTAAAAAGAGAAATAAAATCTTTCAGTTCTTGTAATCATAAAGACAGAGAAAGAATACATTCAGTTTCTATCACTAAAAAGCAAATCCAGAATAAAGGAAAAACTCTTCTCCCTGGATGCATTAACATAAGTAGCAACACAGTGCCAAAAAAGAGAAAGAAATCACCTCAGGGAATTGTGAAATGCAGCTGAGCTTACCTGAGCACAGACTCCAGGAGCTGAAAGCCAGAAGTATCATGCATATCAGCTGGATTTTCATTCCTGCCATCATCTCCTTGAGCCTTCTAGCAAGCCAAGTCCATAAACGTCACAGACACGCTGAAAGAGGCTTTCTCTAGCGCTTCCTCTTGCCTTCAGCTGATTTGGAAAGTGAACTCTGAGAGATGCTTTGGCCATTCCCTATATATACACGCAGAAGGATGATGTCATGATAGCACAGGGATTATCTCTTAGGATGTGCCCTCCTTCATCTCTATCTCTCTCCTCTCTCCACTTCCTCCTCCCCCTTTCCTTTGTACCCCATTCTCCTCCCCCACTTCCGAACTTCAAATGAAAGTGTGACATCTACCCTAATTGCTACAGTTGCTCTGGATTTCTGACGCACAGAAATCATTCAATAGCAATTCCATATAGAACATACTGGAAGCAAAAATTACAGTGCCTCTCTTTCTCCATTTCCTCTCATTTCTGACTCCAAGAAGTTGTCATTTTGATTTTGTGAAGCATGATATCTATTATTTCTAATGTAAGCAAAGTCTCCAAGATGAATGCATGAAATCAGTGATTCTTAAGCTTTGGAAGTCTTAAAGAGTTGGGGTTCTTTTCTGATAGCCCACACTTGTGAGCAAATGTTTTGTGGCTTAGGGACAAATACAGGTTTTAGAGAATGAATGCTAGAAGAAGGAAGAAAGTGAAAGATAACCAGAGAATCAGTTAAGGTATAGGGATTAAGCAAAAAAAAAAAAGTAAAAAAAAAAAAAAAGGAAGAAAAAAGAAAAAAATTTAAAAAGACTAGTAGCTCTAAAAAATTGAAAAGTTTTTATTTCAAGTAACTGGGAGAATGACAATTTATGATTGCTGACTTTTGGTTAAATGTCTTACAAATACAATGTCATGTTTACAAAATCCAACTATAAACTATTTATGTGGAAATACAGTATTATATCATTGGTGTTTTCTGACACTTTACTCTTTTCTCTCTGCATTGCTCTACTCTTTTTGGATTCATTGATGCTATATCCTATTCTTTTTATAATCCCCTTCTCACTGGTTTTCACAATTGCATCAATTTTTTCTCCTGTTATAGTCATAAAAATGAAATTGTGCTTTTGGAAAGGAAACATTCTTAATCAATATCCACCAAAGTCAGATTTCTAAGACTGTGTCTTCACATCATATTTTACAAATTACAATGACGCTCATTTCATTTCTGGATTCTCAGGAAAAAAAAATGGCTCAGAATGTCTTTTGGAGTGAAGCTTTCTTCTTGTATTAAGTATTTCAGGATACACGAAGTGATCTGAAAAGGGGATGCTGCTAGGAATGTGAATATTTGAAGGTAAAAATGTCTGAGAATTGTTCACTTTTTAAATATACCAGTCATGTAATAACAATAGAGAAAAATATGGATTATTTTCTAACGAGAGTTGATTTATATTTTATGGTATACTGTATGAGATTGACTTCTCTATTCTACCTTAAACTAGGAAAACGGTTTAATTCCAAACATTTAGTAATTATTTAAAACAGCAAGGGATCATTTTTATAATTTGGTGTTCAGAAATCTAACAACGGATATTTTTCTTACTTTTAGTTTTCTTACTTTTAGTTACTTTTACAAACTTAATGTACAGTGCAATATTGAACATGACTCATTTGAAGAAAGTTTTATACGAAGGGTCATTAATTGGCAAAGAAGTGTTGAACATAGACTGCTAAACATTTGCTTTCCTACCACAAGAGGGCGCAACAGAGGTTTAAAAGGATTTTTATTTTCACTTAATTAGAATTCTAAGGATTTTATTTACTTTCTTCTTACTGTCTTTGTGATAGAATCCTTTTAAAGCCCCTTTAATGGAAAAAAAGTAGAAGAGCTTTATATTCCTTGTGCGATATTTAAATTAGCTGCTTTATCTGCTTTTGGATTGCAAATACGAAGAATAATCTTTAAAAATGTGTGATAGCAGCCTACTGGTAAAGAGGAAGTGTGATTCCTATTCTCCTCAAGTGATTAATAAATAAAACTCAAGGAAATGTTGATAAAATATCACTTGAATATTAGCTGTAAATGTGAGAATTGTTTTAAATATATAATAAATCTGGAAGAGTTGGGGGAAAATGTGTTAACTAATGTCAAATGATCCAAAACTATTTTTCCTCTAGGGGGAAAAAAAAAGATGTGTAACTTTTTGTGGTAAAATTATGATATAGATAAACTTTATCTGACCTTTACTGGTATTTTAAAAAATCTGTTACCCCTTTCCATTTTTTAGCTCCGGTGACTTCAAGTGATAGAAAAGCCAATTAAATGATTTGTTTCAAGAGGGTAGACTGTGTGTGATATTTGCCTTTAAAAAGGATTCTATGAAGTACCCAAATGATGCCTTTAGAACAGGATTTCAGGTGCTTTCCTATGGAGATGGGTAAACTATTTTCACTTTAAAGGCTTTGCCTAAAATCCTGCTAGTATTTATTTAATCCATAAAATAAGTAATACAGAGTTTGACTATCACACTTGGATAATCTTCACGTGGATAATCTTCCAGTCTGAGGTCACTATGGAGTGGCTAGCTCCAAAAAAGTGTATCTATTTATCCATCGAAATAGGTTTATTCTGGGTACCTATAGATTGCAACATTCCTACCTACATACATTTCAGCGCTTCTACTGTGAAATAAGTCAGATTGTTAGCAGGTAATTACTTGAAATAAGCAACAGAAATGCGTGTAAGTTCGGCATTTGGAAATAGTGGTCTGTGGGCTTATTTAGTTTGGAGATGGGAAAGCTCAGGAACAACTTTCGGAGTTCTTCCGTTCCAGATGATTTCTTCCTGTCCCTTTGGAGGTTCTATCATCCCCATTAACAGCTTCCCAGGCTCTCCAGGCTTTTAGTACCTTAATACCTGAAACTTCACCTGTGAGGTCTCTACCATCTGGAATCTGCCCTCCATCTTCCCATGGCCTCCATGTCTCTCATTTCTGATACCATCTTTCATTTTTTTAAAAAAACCGTAAAAATAAACCTTCCCAAGTTTGAAGTCGTTTCATCTACTTCTACTCATCCCAGTTTCTGCTAAATGCTCATCTGTGGCAAACCGTGAAGGAGAGCAGAATTTGCCACCCCAAAATATGCCTCTTTGGCATGTTGATTCTCTTGAAACGATTATTTTTAAGAAACAGTAGACATAGGAGCTCCGAAAACCATGTAGGAGTTACCTTTTTGTAAAAGATATTTACGTTAATAAGGAAGGCCTCCATTTGTAAGGGTGTTGCCTTCTCTGTACCAGGAAGAGGAGGAATGGCCAAATCTCTAGAAATTCTTATCAGCCGAGAAGGACTTAAATCTGCAGCAACCTTACACTTGTCTATGGTTCTTTTCTTGGTAGTCTCCCATCCCTCGCTCCCTCACCCACCTCAGTATCTTCTCTTGTCTATAGCTGGTGATGGCATTTAAGGTGGAGGGTTGGGCCATTTTGGGAAGTTATCTCCCCATGGATACCTGGATATCTCCATGTATACAGGTGGTATGCATGTTATTAAACTTCTGTTTGCTTTTCTCCTGTTAATCTTTTATTACAGGGTTTCTCAGCCAAGAATCTAGAAGTGTAAAAAGAAAATTATTTTTTCCTCCTCTACAACTGTGAACTTCTAGAAGGAAAGGACTCTTACTCATCATTGTGTTCTTGCAGGGTTTATAATCTATTAGGATTCGATACGTATCTACTAAATTGAGGTGAAATACAAATTATTTCAAATTTCTCACATATTTTTCATGCTTCCATCTGTAACCTTCCTTTCAGCCACTTTTCTACTTTAGTTTCAATCATTTAGGATTCCTTCATCATAAAGACAACTGCTCTTGATACTTGATGTGAGACTTTAACTAAGTCAGTTTTCTCAGCCTTTGCTCTAGTCATTCTTTTCCTCCCTTACTGGGAAAGTCAACTTTCAAAAATTATTTATGAAGAGTATCCTGGGATCATATGCATTCATCAGCTGAGTGCTTAGGATAAGCTATGGGTTTACTCCATTCCTCTAAATGAGTCTCTGCTTTGGAACTGTAAATCTGATTCATCTGGGCAAACAATGATGTCAATCTCTTTGTAAACTCAATTGATTTTTCCATTCAATTAAAGTCCATTTTCTAGACATACAGATAGCTCTGTGCATGCACACCCACACCCACATATACCACCATACACATGAAATGCGTATAACCCAGACCTTGAAGACTTAGGTAAATGCAAACCAAATGCCCAATTTCTTGATCTATGTGTAACCGTGCCTTGCCCATAATCTCTGTAAATTCCCAGCTCATTTCCTTCGGACTCTTCCTATCTCTGCCCTTGCATCTTTAGAGGTAATTAACCTGGAAAAATTGATGATGGACTTTTATAGTCAAAGCATATCTTGAAACTTACACTCCAATCATAACGCAAGCTTTGCCTGGAATCCACGCATTAATGAGCTGCCATATTTAACTAAGGAGTCTGCACATGGTAGTTATTGTTGATCTCCCTTATAATCTTGTTTCTTATATCATATAGTCTTGTTTCTCATATCAAAATGTTGATATGCTCGCAAAACCACTACCCACTATGAGTAATGCTCAAGTAGTTGTCCTTGTGAGTTTCCTTTTAGAGTAAGACCAACATGAAAGCATTACAGAAAAAAAGTCCCTAACAACTTTCTTCTTTTATTTTTCTTACTTTTACAAATCAGATTTAATTACCTTGAGTAAAAAATAGGATGCATTTTTCTTGAAAGAAAAATTTTACCTTTTTTTTTTTAATGTTACAAAGTCTAAGAAAATTTTTGTAGCACCTGTGACACTCAAAACAGAACAGATGCACCTGAGCTACTGTTTGTTAGGAGCAGATTTAGTGAAACACCTTCTCTTTTTTATCTTAAGAAGATATTAAATGTTGAATTTGGAACATAATGATTTATGTTATTATTATTCCTTGGTCTTATTGTTTGTTTGTTTGTTTGTTTTTTCAATTTAGATTCTTTCCTTGGGGTTCCTGATAAGTCTCATGACTTTGAACACCATTTATTTCCTAACACCTTCCCAAATTGCATTTCTGGCTACTCAAATCATATACCCAGTCCCATCCTCAGCAACTCTACTTGGAGGATCATTAGGCAAACTTACTCTCCAAAACAAAACTTTTGACTCCTCCAAACACCATTCTAAAAATAACCTTCTCTTCTAGTGTTCTCCATTTCCGTTATTGGAAACATCATTCACTACATTGCTCACATCAAAAACTGGAAGAGATTTAT